CCGGAGAAAGTGGCAGTCAGGGCATGAGGTGAGGAAAAGGGGCCGTTAGACCCTGCATGGCTGTGGCTCCCGTGCCGGGAATGCGGTCAGCCTGGCCTCCTCCCAGCAAGAGAGGACAGCCCATTTCCCAGGGGAGGACACCGAGGCTCAGACTCACTTTGGCCGGGGGGGCGGCAAAACTAGAACCTCAAGGCAGCAGCCCATCTAGCGCCTGCCCCTGCCCTCTCTCCGGGAGGGCACCCCGGAAGCCCGCAGTCCCAATCTGGGAGTCAGAGCAGGCTGGGCTGAGCTCTGCTGGGGGCGCCCAGCTCGGGGTCCACGCACACACTCAGGTGAAGCCAGGCCCAGAAGAAGGAACGGCTCTAAGCCACAGCCCAGGGGGGCCTCTCCATCCACCCTCCACGAGGTGACCCCTCCACACCCCAGAGCCACAGCCAGCCAAGGTGTGGGCGAAACGTTTTTCCCACCAGAACAGCCCAGCAGCCGGGCATGTGCTGTGACCACTGAGGGGACTTTGTCAGAAACACTGCCTGGGGGCCGGATGCGCCCACCCACAGGAAGGAGGGACCAAGACAGGGCCGCACACCCCCAGCCGGATGAGGGCCAGGTGAGGGTGGCGGCACCTCTTCTTCCACGAAGCTTCTCAGGACAGAGGGGGAGGGGCTCGGGGGGCTGCCTTCAGGGAAGCTCAGCAAAGCTCAGGGACCAGTCTGAGAAGAGATGTCCTCCAGACCCGCACCCTCTCAGGACAGACCGTCCCGTCAGCCTTTCCCGGAACACATGGGAGCCCACATGAACCTCCCAGAGCAGACGGGCCCAGCGCTGCGCACCCTGGGAACAGGTGTGGGCCTTCCGCCAGCAGTGCTCGACCCTGCACACTGCGCCCAGGGTCACGGCGGCGGTGGGGAGGGTCCACCGTGGGCTCATGGCTGTGGGACCTGGGGCAGGGTACCCCACTTCTCTGGGTCTAAGGGGCCCCACTAGCTGAAGAAACAAAGGAAAACCATCATTTCAAAATTGTCATGTGACACACAGAGGCAGTCCCCCCTCCACAGCCCAGTGGCACACACGTATTTTCCGCCTGGGACACGGGACCATCCAGAAGTGCCCTACTCATGGGTGCAGGTCACATCCAGGGGTCTCAGCCACCGGGACCAAGGCCCAGCGGGTCACATCCAGGGGTCTCAG